TTTCCTTGCAAAGCCACCAAGGGAAAAAAGGAAGATATAAAGTAAAATAAAATAAAATAATGTCTCAGGAAGAGCTGAGGTAGGATGTGTCCCTGTGTTGCCGAAACTTTTCTGCAGGAGCCACCCAGCTGAGAGGCTGCCATCTAGGGCTGGCCTTTGTGTCCCCCAGCCACTTCTTGGGTGTGGGAAAAGTAAAGAAAGAAAGGAGACGAGAGGAGACGAGAGGAGAGGAGAGGAAAGGAAAAAGGAAAGGAAAGGAAAAAGGAAAGGAAAGGAAAGGAAAGGAAAGGAAAGGAAAGGAAAGGAAAGGAAAGGAAAGGAAAGGAAAGGAAAGGAAAGGAAAGGAAAGGAAAGGAAAGGAAAGGAAAGGAAAGGAAAGGAAAGGAGAGAAAAGAGAGAAGAAAAGAAAAAAGAAAAAAAAAGAGCAACGGTTCTGGCCTTCCCGGAGGTTTTCGGCGGAGCGTGGGCGCAGGCAGGCGCTGCAGCCGGGGCAGCTCCGCAGCCCTGGCCCCGGGAAGGGCCGCGGGGCTCCCCGTGAGGCTCCCGCCCGCCTTCTGCCCCAGGACGTTAAAGCTGCCAGGGCTGAGGCAGCTTCTCCCCCGGTGCTGCCCGGGCTCTGGGGGAGCCTGCGCTTGGGCACTTGACTTTCTGTTTTTTTCTTGTACCTCTGATAACTGCTACCTGGGGATAGTGGGGCACATTCATAGTTATTATTTTTATTTTTCTGCCTATTTTGTGCTTGTCGTCAGCATAGTCACAGGCAGGCACCAAGGCTCGCACCCAAGTCAGGGCTGTGTCATCTGCGTCCCGTCACAGGGAGGTAAAACAGAAAGCCGCTCTCGACGTGAGCACGGAGCCGCCTCCAAACTATCCCTCACATCTGTGCAGTTGAGAAGCGGCTTCCCCGCTGGCCGGAGCAGGACCTTAGTACCCGGCTGCTTTGCAGAAGGACCCTGCAGAGGTAGTGTAAGGCGCCCGGCTCCTCTCTTCTGGCTGCTCCTCCGAACAAGTGTCTGTGTTCAGCGTTTCGAGAATTCCCGGCGGAGCAAGAGAGCCTCCATGGACCGGCAGCCCAGGGCCACGGGGCTCCGAGGGGGAGCTGCTGCCCGTGCAGCGCAGCCACCGCAGGAAATACCCACGAGAGTCTCCACACGATCGTTTTCTCTAGCCATGCATCGTCTTTGCCCCGTGGCGTTCCACGCAAGCAAGTGGTGGGTACTTGCTGGAAGTGATGGATAGTTATTTAGAGCCCTCTCTGCTGCAGCAGAGCAGGAAAGCCACCAAATCATCTGTTGTCTGCTCAACATTCAGGAAAAAAAAAAAAAAAGGAGCAGAGCCAGGAAATCCGCCTGCTCTTCTGGGGGCTAATTCCAACTCTTCATCAAGATCTGATTATCAAAAAGGAAGACAGAGCATAAAAGTGCTATAAAGATTTAAAAATTCTCACTCTCGTCCATAATTCACCCAGCAAATGTGTCCATTAGGACATTCCCCATAGTGAGGAAATTGTGATGTTGCTGCAAGGTCCTCTACGGCAGAGCTTCTGCCAACTCGGGTGAATAATTTGGGCCCATACGCTGGCTCCATAAAGCTCTGTAATACCAGGGTACTCCTTCTGCTTCCTCGAAAACATGGGGTATCTGAAGAAAAGTAAAAGCTAATTAAAAATAGTTAATAGGTTAATCACACTCAGGCTTATATTTATGTAATTCAGAACAGTGGTTCTTCAGTGATGTAGTTTGGAGGCATTACCGGGAGCCAAGAAAATGAATCAGACATTTAATGGAGATGTGGAAGCGGAAATTTCTTGTAAGACTACAAAATCGTAAGCCAATAATACACTGAAATATAATAAAGTTATCATTAAAATTCCACGCATGAGATGCTGCCCTCTGTGTCCTCTCCCTAGGTGGATAAACTGAGGCAAAACTGGCCATTTTTAAAAATTATTATTCCAAATTAAGTAAAATAAAAAGAGTTGGAATTGCTGATAGGTTTCTGACAAGAATGCCTTTTAGCATCCTTACCCCAGAGCACCTGAGCGCAGACCGTGGGGACAGGCCGGTGGCATCCCCACGCGGGTGGCCACACCGTGGTCACCCCGGTTTGCTCCGCGGGTCTCGTCGCACTCGCTCACGGGGAGGGAGCAGGGCTGGGGCGGGCAGACTGCAGCAGCCGGTGCGCTGCGCCGCCGACCCGGGACACCAGGGTCTGCCCTGGCATCTGCTCGCCCAGATGCTCCGTTGACATGGAATAAATAAATAGTTGATATTCAAACCTTTTCCTTTCTGTTTTTTAGCGTTAGTCCTGACTGACCCCTGCTGGGGGAAAGCCATGAAGAGAGAGTGGAAAGAGAAGCCCCCTCCGCAGCCACCCGGGCAGCAAGTCCGGGGAATTTCCGGGCAGCATTCCCAAGGAAAAGGGCTAACTTCTCCCTCTGCACCGCGGCACAGGGCCTTGCTCGTCCCGCGGAATGGAGCCCCCCACCAGAGCCCGTTTGCAGCACCATGCGTCTCCTTCACCCCTTGGGACACGGCCGACAAATACAAATAAAGAAAACAAAACCAACATTTATTATAGAAAATCGTACGATTTCAGCAGATTTTAATTTATTATTCCTCCTCTCAGACTCTGAACTCTTCCAGTGTGTGGAGATCTGTAAATAAGAAGGGACCTTTCTGTGAGTGTCAGATGAGGAAGATGGACTTGATGAAGCCAGTGAGGACTGGATGCTTGTGGCTAATTGGACACAAACAACGGGGCTCGCAAAGAAGGGACTTCCAGGTCCGCAGCCCCACCAGATTCTCATTTGTTGTGAGGCCTCTTAAGCAGCAAATCACACTGGAACTGAAGCATGTTTCTTAACAGGGATCTGTTGGAGTTTTCAGAGACTCACAGAAAAAAAAAACGCTGCAAACTAACAAGACACCGGGAGAAAAACATGGCATGATTATGGCAAAGTCATAAAAGTATTCTGTGTCAAAAATGGCTAAGGAAACCATTGATTTAAACCCAGCAGAAGGCCGCTAGTTTTCCCCCTGGCTCTGGCCAGCAAGCGCAGTCACCCACATGCACTTCAGCTATTCCCTACTTTTTTGTAATTCCTGGATATGTGTCCAGCTGGGATTCACGTGCGCGCTTCCTCCAGGCGAGCTGTCGGCTACACTTTTGACATGAAAACTAACGCCTAGCTTTGATTCCACATGAATGGCAAAAAACGTATGGAAATTTAACTGACATAGCCAAAGCTTTTATATAGCTTTTTTCACTATATGAGGAAAAATATATGTACAGGAGGGCCATCTCTGGCCATCGATCTCTGCGTAGCCCCCTGTGGAAATCAGTGGAGAGCTTTGCTTAGAAATTGTTGGCACCGTGCGGGCCGATGTCAGGGAACTGGAAATCATTACACTGATGGTCTAAATGGGGGCCGAGGGGAGAACGCAGCCGCTGCAGCAGCAGCTATCACTATGTGCATATTTTTATGGTTTTTAGAAAATCATATTTCAGCATTTTTCTTCACATCAAGGCCTGACAGGGTTGCATTGATTAGAACATTCAAGCTAAATCGTAGAGAAAATTACTTAGAGCAGTATACTTTGTAACATAACTTTTTTTTTAACGAAAAGATCCGGCTTTCTTCGTTTCACGTTAAGTGCAACATATTAAGTCGTATCAGCTGGTGTCAGGATGAGCAGTCGGTTAGAGAGCAGCGCTGGGGCACGGTGCGCCTTACAAAGGTGCCGCGGGCTCTGCAGGAGCCGCCGGGCTCCCCGATCGGCGCAGGAGCCCGTGAGGGTTTTTGCAGCGCTCCGGAGCGGCTCGCGAGGCCGCCCGGCCACCCCAGGCGGCGCCAGGCCGGGCCCCTTGGTCGCTGCAGCAGCTCCATCTAGCGAGGCGGCTGGGCCGCGCGGGGAGCGAGCCCCGCGGCTGCCTGGCC